TCATGACTTAAATATGTCACATGATGTTTTCTAAACATTTTTTCATCAAGCCATTTTTTCATGATTGGAGAATGTCGTGATAATAATAGAACAATCTGGTTGAAATTACTATTTTCTTCATTTTCACCTTCACCTCTATACGCTAAACCTTGACGTGCTAAAGTACGCGTAATATCCATTTAAATTGTAATTACTTTTTGATTAAAAAGTTTCTGATATTCAAAATTAATTTCATTAAGACGATTAGATTTATTTAAAATACAATCTATGTGATTGGTATTACTTAAGAAGTTGCTAAAATCAATCAAAGCTGACTTGTGAGATAAAGAAGAAAAATGCTCAGCAAGTTTCCCTGGTTTTTTTTTACCTCTACTTTTGAATTTGTGCCATACATTAACTCCATTTTCTACCCATGCTATTTCAGCAAAATTTCTATTTGGCCCTTTAGGAAATAAAGAACATCTAAAGCAAAAAGCTGCATCTTTTACAACACTATATTCTAAATGAGGAAATTCCTTAAACCATAATGAACTGAATTGATTTTGTTTTCCATGTGCTATATCTGAGTTCTTTGGGTATGTAGCTAGTTTTGGTTGATATGGTCCTAAACCCACAAGGTATTTCCTTTGGGAAATTGATTCAATGGTTTTTCGATTGCCAGGGTCATGCTCAAGAAAATGATTTATAATTTTGTCATTGCATGTTTGATTTGAGATAGTTAGCAAATCACTCAAAACTTTTTTAGTCATGGCTACATATTTTTCAGATTTTAATTGCACAGATGACATAATTTCAGAAGTATTCACCAGAAATGAAATTGGATTCGGGGATGTATCTGATTTAAGTTTTGATAGTAATAAATTGCATTCTTGAAAATCATGTATTAAATGCTCTATCATTCCTGCACATGCTAACCAACTGTTTGCATCATTTAAACTATCTAAGCATTCATTTTCTAAAAGCACAAAATAAAAAGCATAAGCAACTAATAAGCAATACATAATTTATATCTAAATGTTTTTTAAGGATACTAAAATAAATATTGGATCAAAAATATAACCATAAAAACTCACTTGAATCTGTCTTTTTATTATCATCATGCACATCATTATCTACCTATAAATTTGATTGAAATTCATTTTTACTATTTTTTTTATTTGTTAAAGATGTATTAATATGATGCACAATTATTGATTTAACTAAAATATTTTATATTACTTACCAATTTATTTGTTAAATTATCATCTTCAGTAATCTTACAGATATTAATATTTGTTTTCAAAATACTTGGTGTTAGTAAAACTGACTCATGTTTACTGGAACTGAAACAATCAGTTTCTTGTGATATAGATTTATCCTAATAACAACAAATATCATATTTATAATTAATAAAAAAACCGAAAAGTAATAATAGTAAAAACTCACTATGTCAGTTTTTAACCGTACACAATTATTATTTTGTCTAGCTATGGCAGAGGCTGATGCAAATGGATTTTCTGGTGCCCCAAAATGCTTAGTTAAAACTTTTTTTACCAGCATGTTGTCTAATTTCATGCTTTCTCTTGTAATCGTCATCAAATATGCTGTCACATGATAAACATTGAATTTTTATTCTTTTTCTTTTTCTTTTTTTGCCATTATTATCCATTATAAATTTAATTAAATTCAAATTCAAATAATTATAATACACAATTTAAATAAATGTTAAGTCAAAACACAATATACAACTGATTGATAAATTATAAATTGTAAGTTAGTAAGTTAAACATACAAAACGTTTTGTCCAAGTCCAACTCGTATAATCTTAATAGGAACGTTTGTAGTTTTGTACAATAAATTATTGTACCATTATCAGTGTTATACTGTTATCACGAATTGAAACTTTCTTGGTTTGCGCGGTTGTACCCATAGACCTTTTACTCATAGACCGGCCCTCTTCGCGTTTCCGCCGTGTCATGATAGGTGGCGCTTTTCGGTTACTGAGTTACTCTGATACGGGTAAAAAAATAATCGTTTAGGACATAGACCTGATCTGACTGATCCATAAATGGGCTGCATCACTGCGCTATGTCAGCTTGCGACTATCAATGTATTTAGTATAGGATGGGCCGGTCTATGAGTAAAAGGTCTATGGTTGTACCTATCAATATTTAATTATCCATGATATTATCTACAAACCTTGGTATCAACTACGGACTAAAATAAAATATGATCCTAGTACGTCGTGGTATCAACTATTCAACTATCAAAATCAAATCAAATATTAATTCATTCAAAAATAATAATAAATACAAAAATATTATTATATTTATTAAAACAATGATATTATAATAAATTATATTTTAATAGTCGTATTGAAATTAAAATTGCTGACTTGCCGACTTGCCGACTGATATGTCAAAATGACAAATGTGATGACTAAAATGAATCGAGTGTTGAAGTGGGGGTCGTGTTTGTCGCGTGTATTAACGATGTAAAATACAATGTACATTATAAACAAATACATATGTGTATATATGTACATTATATTAATTATGTATGTATGTATTTTTATTATATTTTTATAAATAACTAAGTTATAATACCGTGTTTTTCTTTTTATAATGTAATAAAAAATTTAAATAAAGTCAATAATAAAACATTTTCAAAAAATGTATATGTACCTTCATTTTTGTATTGCGGATTATTGGGACAACCAATAAAGCGGATTCGACTGTGTTATCAATAATCACAGTTAACGTTATAAAATATTTAAATATAATTTTCTAAATAATTAGTAATGAATACTTACGGAAGTCAATTATTACTGTTGCCGCCATCAGCTCTTATTAATATTAAATAAGTTGTGCCTTCACGACTGAATCATATGTATATATGCTTGTAAAATATAAAATGAAAACAAAAATGTGTGTTGGCAGTTCTGTATTTTTTATTGAGCAATAATAATAATAATGTGTTTTTCTTTTAATTAAATAAATAAAATAATAAATTGCCAGGCAAGTTTATAATAATTAGGTACAATATAAATATAATATGTAGCCCCTTGGCTTTTAACAATGATACAATACTGCTGTAATGCAAATAATAATAATACAAAGTTTTCTGACTAGAATATGAATGAATAGTTTAACAAATGAATAATATAAAACAAGTGCTTGATTAGCACATAATAATATAATAATGAATGACTAAATGAATAATATAATAATATGCAGCTCGTCAGCTGATTACCTTTAGAACTGGTTTCCGTTAGCGGCTTCGAACCAAACGCTACCGTCTCAGGATGCACACATTTGAACAATAGAAAATACAATATTATAATACTAAATGTGTGACAATCCCGAGAACGTACGACTAACGGGCCACCGCCCACCAGCTCAGACGAATAAATCACAGTGTACATGCAAATCACAAATGGCAAAAATTCACGTGCTTCTGTAAGTATCTCTTTGAGCGCCCTGAATTGGGGAATAATATTAATGAATGAACTAAAACAAATGACTGAACGATACTTACAGAAGGCAATTTACAGATGATGTACACAAAATGATTGACTGAATGTTGAATGTATTGTATTGACTAGAGAATGAAATTAAATGTCTATGTATTGTATTTTAAAATGAATTAAATACTGACGACTGACTATTAAAAACACCGAACAACCGTGCACCTCGGAGGTCGTGTGGCAAAAAAAAAAAAACGAGTTTTACATTAACGGACATGCAACAAGCAACGAGAACTGTACGAATGGGCTTTCAGTGCCACCACACTAAAACGAATAAACATAAAAAAACTAATGACTTTGTGACACTGAAAGCATGACTTGACGAGAAAAACTTTGAACGAATATGACTTTTGAGAACATAAATTGATAACGGTCACGCAGCTGGCCGTTCGCACACGGAAATATGATAAGAATTTATTTGATTTCGGCTGCAGCTGCGGACCGCACCGTTGCATGCACATGAAGAAAAATGATAACAGTAAACAAAATGAAAATTATACAAATGACAACCTTAAACATGAACAATTACTTTATCACCTTTTGTATTGAGCTGGTCACCTATAAAAAAAAATTATTTTATAGATACAGCTCAGTCTGTTACTGTTCACGGTTAAAGATGTAATGGCTGTCCATTGGCATCTGATAAGGAGGCCATGAAATTACAAAGAAAAAATATCCACCAGTGATCCACGTGGCAGTATCAAAATGAACCGATTATAGATATACATGTATAAAATGAGTTCTAAATGTTGACACTTCTTGTTCAATTTTTAAATAGCACTAGTGGTTATTTTTTACAGCTGTTTTAAATAGTCATGTTATTAGTCAATTTGAAAGCAGTTTTTTTTGTATCCGTCACCTCCATCGACCTGACATATCGACCGGCCTACTGCGACGTTAATACTGCCATAATTTGAAAATGAAAATCTATATATTACTAGCTGTCCCATGCAAAAGTCACCTCAGGTGAAAACCGGTATTTTTTTGACTTCGTATTGCCTCATTCGATAAATAAAAAAGCTAAACTTTTATATAAGAAGACTTAAAACAAATAAAAGGAATCCGTATTTTTTTTTTAAAAAAATTCTCGCTATTACTGAGGTTTTATTTATTATTCATGATTTTGCTTAAAAATAGTCTCGTCACAACAATGAGATACTTACAAAACAGAGTTTTCCTGAAATACTGGCTACTTATAAGGTTTCAATTGATATTAATAGGCACACAAAGTTATGATACAGTCTGTTAATCAATTTAAAGCTTTCTGATAAACTATATTTTATGTTTTGTTTTGTGGTGCGTAAATAAACAAAGATGACGGTATAACAGTATAATTGTCCATGCGAGAAACAGGGAAACCCTAAGTTGATTCCGCAAACTTCCAACGACTGGCCTTGCGATTTATTTATGGTCGTCTCAAATGCCAGACGTACGGGAAATTGTAGACGTTTAAAACCAAATTGTAAATCTGTTGGAGTCATCGGTATACGCGGAATCAAGACATCTTCTCCTTATACTTTCCCTTTATGATTTTTGCCTCAATGACGTTATTCATTAGCTTTTTCACAGCCAGTTTTGTGCCATTGCACAGTCGAGGTTGATTAATGTTACGCAGCATGATGACAACTGATCCTACTTTTAACTGCAAATTGTGTGGTGGTAATTCAAGCAATTCCAGCGAATTTAAAAACTCCGTGGGATAGTTGACTACGTCATCCTGGTTCATAATGGTGTCGACTGATTTGTAGAAAACCAACTGTCCCGGTAAAAAATTCTGAATGGTTGCATTGAGAGCATCGACATTTTTATTTTTTGCCGTCAATATTGCTCGTTCACCCAGCCAATTATGGTTATTGAACTGTTGCGCTATATCTGGGAAAACATGCTGAATTAGCTCTTCTTTGGAGTCCGTGATGTGACAGAAATCTGTGGGTAATGTGATTAATTTGGTCGAGGTGTCCACTACGACTTTATTATTTCCAATGTCTAACAACTGCTTCGAAAACACAATTGCAGTTTCATCTTGTTGCAAAAATACTCGCATGTTAGTTGTTAATTGGAGTGTCTTAACTTATCGCCACGAATTCGATGATTTTAGGCATGCGTTTAGTTCATCAGCAACAGTTGATAGGGGAATGACTGGAAGAGTCTGACGAATATTACCTGTTAACAGAATCATGGCCCCGCCAAAAATATTTTGGTTGTCACGAAGATCTTTCAACGTTCTGTCCAGGGCCTCCAGTGACCTCTTATGGGCCATTGTGCATTCATCCCAAATAATCAATTTGCATACCTATAGGATCTTGGCAATTTTTGGATATGTTGCAAATTGGTGTTTCGTTGATTTGTATATTTAATGGTAATTTCAAGTGTAACAATCTGACTACGTTCGTTTGATGGTGTTGAGAATAAATGAACAAGAGTTTGGTTTTTCTTTATAAATTGAATACTTTTTATTTAATTTATACAAAGACACAATAAATTTACTAAGTCCAAAATGACTATTTTAAATAATGAAGACTAGCGAGATGTGAATGTCATATCCTAGCTCCTAGCTTGTTGTTGGTGTTGGTCCGTCTGCCGAAGCCTATTCGAGTGACGTATTTATAATGGTGATCTTTGGATCATATCCCTGCCTATTATCCTACTACCCCACTGTGCAATATTCAGTCCTAGAGACATCGAAAAGAGGTTATTTTGTGATCTGCGATGTTCATTATTTGATCCCAGTGATCTCTGTAAGATATCCCTGGGTATGCTAATTCCCAGTTGAGTGATATTATAATTGAACATTACTAGTCTGTTACACAATCACCATCTATAGTACAACTATAACATAGCCTCTAAGGAACATTACATTGTTACTACCTCAAGATGGAAAATAATTAAACAACTATGCAATGTTCAAAATTTAACTACCATGAGAGGTTGATCAGTGGCATAACCAAGAGGAAGTGGGTTTCCCGAATCTGGACCCCCCTTTGAAAAATTATAGCACATACTACTTATGTATCAGATTTTTATCCTTAGTTAAAATCTCTATATTTGAACAAGTATGAACCACTCACACATTGAAAAAATTCAGCTCATGTCACTAATTATGGTTCTTTTTTGATTTTTTAGTTAAAATGTATTTTATTCTTGCCAAAAAAATTTTTAATTAAATAATGCAAATTTGACCAATATAATATAAATCACTTTTATTGATAGAATAGAACATTTTACATTTAAATGTGTTAGGTATATATATATATAAATGTATATGAAAAATGTAATTCATAATACTCAATATATTGTGATGACACAATAAAATAATATTATACTTAATTTATAGAAAAAACATTTTATACAAAATCAAATAAGATTAATAAAAAAAAAAATCAATACTCCTACAATATATTGTCACATATTGATAATAATAATAATAAATACTTATTTATTAATTTAAATAAATAATTATACGCCTGTGATTATATCTTTGTGACTGGTGACTTACCGAATCGTGTGCAGTGTACGGTATACCTGTCTGTTTATCACGTCTTGATAGCTATAAATACGAATAGCTAATATACGGAAGTGTCGTTTTATTTTTTTTATTGTTTCTACCTATACTACTGCAATATGGATGAACAAAGTATCATAAACAAGAAGACTAAGGTAAATATGAACATTCATTATCTAATTATCTACTAATGGCCTGCAATACTACTAGCCACCAGGTAATAATTTAATCACAAGCTAACTCATAATTTCAAAAATTAATAATTCTTTTACATAATTAACTGTAATTTGTTAAAAAATGTTCTTATATTTTTTTTATGTTTTTTGTGGTTCGATAAAAAACTACTTATTAATGTTTTACCAATTTTAATATTTTTTAATTAGTTTTTTATCTGTGTCGTACTGTTGTTCTCTTTCCAACTCGTGGTTTAATGCATCGTGCATATGACGATTGGGTGCCTTCATTCCCAAACATGACAATACTTTATTTTAGATCAATAATCTTCTATCATGATTAATGTCTCATTGTACATTTCTGCAGTCCTTTGTAGTGTAGGATTCAAAGTTTGACGGCGCATACGATGCATAACATCTTCAGACATGTCATTTCTATACTTAACCCACAATTTTTTTGGGTTTGAGGGGAAACATAGTTAACCTAGATAATCGAAAACAATGTACGAATTTTATGTGGTGATGAAGATATTACGGAATCCTTGAGCGTATCATCCCAGTTCGAATCGTTCTCGAGTAAATGTAATAGTTGACATGCCTCACGGCAAGTCGCACACAGATATACATTAACTGTTCTCAGTTGTTCAAACGATGTCGGATCACGAACATTCACCAATAACCGCAAATAATAACATTCATCGTTATTTGGATGTACTGTGTAGATGCGACCCAGGGCGTATGAAGCAAATACATTTGGATGTCATTTAACTGGTGTTCCTTGTTTTCGACGAAGAAATTCATAGCACTAACTTTTTTGTTGGTTTCAGCACCTGCATTCAAAAATTATAAATTTTTAATTTGTTACTTAGATATTATATTGAATTTAAAAATGTTACCTATTACTTGATTTACCATTTTGATATTGAAATGGTATCCATCTTCCCCCTGCCAGAAGATCAAAGGATATTGTAACGCATCATAAGTCCTGTGAGTTTCAGATACACGTTTCAAATCATTATTACGACGATGAAGTACAATATCTCTAGATTGTAAATTTCCTCCTACAATGACAACAGCCACTTTGTCAATGGTGGGCGAATTAAACCTCCTTGTGTGTTCACCGACAGGTGTTTTGTTAGCTCGAATGACAATATTATGGCAGTCAGATGGCATCCGATCTAACGCTATTTTGAATATGTTTACCGAATTGTTATTCTGATGAAGAAACATTTGTAATTCTTGAACTATGGTTCTTTTCACTGTTGGTTTGCGAGAACAACGCTTATAAACTTACGCATCTGAATTGCCCATAAAATAAATTTGTAAAAATTGATGATCTGCATCTGGTTGTGGTTACAAAACCCCCAGTAAGTGATAAACTTGTCCTTGTATCTGTAAATTTTAAAGATTTGTCCTAATACAAACTTGAATATAAAAAAAATTAAAAATATTATGGTGTATAATACCTTGAAAGTAGGCATGAAATTGTCCTGTATAATTTGTGTAGCGCTAAACGATGTCATCTGGAAACAGTTGTTATATTTCTGAATGTTGGCCAAGAAGTGCTTAGAATCTAAATGCGTTCTAGAAACTAAAGAGCATAAGGGATCTGATAGTTGGACCAATTGTGGCAATTTTACTTTGCCTCCAGCACAACATAATCCAATAGATTCACCACTGTATTTTAAGGCCTTACAATATTTACAAATTATTGTCATTTCCCCAATTTTTACCGATTTGTCGGCATAATAATCGATTGCCGGATCATAATGAAATGCAGTTCGTTCCAGAATCAGAGGAGCACTGCGTCTGCGGAATCGCTCAATTTCATTATTTCGTGCTTGCTGTTGTTGTGCACGAATTCTAATTCCTATATATTTCATTGTCACTGACTAAAGCAATATGACTATTTTCTTGATCTGTCTGGTCATCAGCGCGGTTGGCACGTGAGGTAGCTCTTTGCACATTTGATTGACTGCGACGACCTAAGTAAGGTCGTCTTCTTCTCGGTATCGTAAATTGATTTTAATGAAAGTGTGAAAAGTTCATGCGCACGTACACGGAGAGAACAAAAAACGACGAATTATGTAATGTTTAATTAAAAAAATGTACCAACTATTTTATCTATAGCTAGGTGGCTAAAATCTACATACCTAGAAGGCTGGAAACCTAGTAATGTAAATTTAAATTTAGTATAAAAAATTAATTACGAACATTTTCATACTCGTTCACCTTTTAAACCTTCTCTAGACTTCCACAAATAATTTAAGACCAAAATGAGCTAATACGGTAAAGCCGTTCTCGAGTTTTAGGGAGACTTACAAACAGCATTAGATTTTTATTTATATAGAAGATATATACATAAATGATTGTAACTTCTTATTGTTTTATTTGTGTATGTAATTACAATATGAAACTATGTAATATTGTAATATTATTTAAATTATTTATTTAGCCTGATCCAATGAAGTATGACACTCAATCGTCTATAGTAAATTGAATACCTACCAAAAATGTAAATCGAACACTCGATTTATGTAGTATTTAAGAGGAAAATTTAGTTATGGATCATAACTCAATTGCCCCAAGTGTGATAAAAAATATATTTATGTTAACAAAAAAATCAATCAAAATTATTGGTGTTATTTTGGATGGTCGACTATCATGGGAAAAATCATAGTGTGTAGTAAACGGAAGTCCTTTCTCCATAGTCCGAGGATCTGGAACCCCCTTGAAAGGTTTTCAAATTTCCTTGATGTCAGATCACTTTTGATATTATAATACTTTGTTTTAGGGCTTTGAGCACCCTAATCTCTGATTCTATGTGTAACCCAAGTCGTTGGAAAGCTGTTTATCACAGGTCCCCACTATCAGAAAGATGTGTCAGAAATCTAGTATTCCGTCATAAAACCCGACATTGTTCTGCTCCTGACCAGATTGGTGCCTGCTAGAGATGCGGTATCATTGGCATGAAATAAAACGTTGTGAGACAGCTGTAGAAAATTACCTTAGAGTGTGATATAGCCGGCTCTCCCAAAGTCACACACAAACCAGGGACTATTTAGAACCTTGTCATAAGAAAGCGGACAGTGGAAATAAGAACTGAGCCTAGTTCTTTCAATTATAAAAGTCATGCATTTAAACTTGAACAGTGACTATGGAGCGGACAATTTTTTGTACCAAACAGCAATAGAAAGAGGAGCTGGTCTGCTCATTGTCAGTGAACCCTGGAAAAACTCCCAAAGAAGGAGAGGAGACGAAAGGTGGAGCTACAGTACGAACAATAGATACGCCATTAGTATATTAAGGTAATCAGACTGTATTCGTATTCATTATGATACTGGCTATGGGAAATGGGTTATCTGATAC